GTTCCACCCTTTCAGAGACAAACTTCTTGAAAATGATATCTGTAAGCACCAACTACTGCCTCATCTCTCTGTCTCCTTTACTCACAGCAAACTGACTTTCATTTCCACCACAACACTGAATCCAATCTCTTCAAAGTCACTGACAACCTCGTTATGAGTAAGTCCAATGGAAATATTTTGGTCCCTCTCTTATTCAACCTTAACAATTATGACACTGCTTTTGATTTTCTCAGTCTTTTAGGAGCAACCAAGGAGATTTACTGCTTAAGAGTTCCTGCTGAACACAGACAAACTCTATGTTCATGTAGTAAACTACCACAAGTCTTAGAAGAAAAAAAAGGTAGAATCTAACTCCCTTACAAACCCACTCAAAACCTAAAGTAGTAAGAATAATTTAGCCTAGGGGCATCTGGGTGGCTCAGTCAGTTGAGTGTCCGACTTCGGCTCAGGTCATGATATCACGGTCTGTGGGTTCAAGCCCGTCATCGGGCTCTGTGCTGACAGCTCAGAGCCTGGAGCCTGTTTCTGATCCTGTGTCTCTGTCTCTCTCTGTCCCTCCCTCCCCCACTCTCACTTTGTCTCACTCTGTCTCTCAAAAATAAATAAATGTAAAAAAAAAAAATGTTTTTAAATAATAACTTAGCCTACTACCCCCCCCCCCCACCATCTTTGCAAACTAAGTGGGATATGGGTAAGGGGAAGGAGAATGTGAGGGTCTTTTTACTTCTTAACTCAAAAATAAAAAGGCATGAGGGGCGCCTGGGTGGCTCAGTCGGTTACATGTCCAACTTCAGCTCAGGGTGTGATCTCGTGGCCCGTGAGTTCGGGCCCTGCGTCGGGCTCTGTGCTGACAGTGCAGAGCCTGGAACCTGTTTCAGATTCTGTGTCTCCCTCTCTCTCTCTGACCCTCCCCCATTCATGCTCTGTCTCTCTCTGTCTCAAAAATAAATAAACGTTAAAAAAAATAATAAATTAAAAAAAGGCATGAATAATCTATAAAATCTTTACAAGTTCTAATGCAAAAGATAAATAATATATAATTAAAGTCAACTATCCCTATTTTAACATACATTTTGTAATAATAAAATGTATATTACATTTCTGTACTTAAATAACTTACTTTAACCTCTTTAGTAATAAAATATGATAGCTTTTAATCATGACTAGAAATGTCATATGACATTGATTATAATATTAAAAACACACTCAATTTACTTCACTTTTAAAACAGACAAGACCCTTGGTAGACACATTGGCAAGCAGCATAATTTTATGGAATTCACCTTATACAATAAATCTTTTAGAACTCCATCAAAATTGGCTCTCTTTCTTCTTTCAAAAGAAATTAATATTTGCATGCAAATTATAGAGTTCAATCTCATTTGTCAATGCTAGGCCATGGACTCTGAAAAATGTCATGTTCCTTCATACCAGTTTCATAGCTTCTGAATCATGATTGTTATGCCTTCCATCTAGTAATGAATACAAAAACAGGACACTCAATTGACCTTGAGAAGTGTTGCTTCACTCTCCACATAAAGTATTTCTCTGGTATCTTATTAGTCAACAAATCAATTTCAAATGCAAATGAATATAAAATAATACTCATAATTCAGATTAACTTCCTTGCAAGAATGTTAATTGCAAATGCCTACCTATTCCCCTCTTTTTTTTCCCTACCTATTTCCCTCTTAATGTGTTCTCTAAGCTCCTTATTGCAGATGTAAAATACCACCTTCATTAAACAGATGACATTGAGGAGCCCCCCGAAAGATGAAGGAATTTGCTCAAGGGCACAAATCAGGTCAACACTGGAAAGAGAACTTGAATACCAAATGCAAGTCATTTGACTTACATTCTAACAGTTTAAGGCATCCCCCCGCCCCTTTTTTAATTCCAGTAACAAACAGGGTCATCTGGGTGGCTCAGTTGGTTAAGCTTTCAGCTCTTGATTTAGGCTTAGGTCATGATCCCATGGTCATGGGATCGCACCCCATATCAGGCTCCACACTGAGTGTAGAGCCTGCTTGAAGTTTCATTCTTTGTCCCTCCCTCTCTGTCCCTCCCCACCTCTCTCTCAAAATAAATAAACATTAAAAAAATTTTAATTGCAGTAAAAAAACATAACATCTATCATATTAATCATTTTTAAGGGTATAGTTAGCTTTATACACATTGTTAACAGTTTAAGATAATCTTTTAATAGATTAACTTTATTAGTAAAAATATAGTTTTGTGGAAAAATATCTTCCAAAATAACTAATGGTTGGCTACAGAACTATTTTTTTTTTTTAATTCCAGGAGTACAGATTTCACAAAAGCTATCTGACTTTATGACATTGTAAGTAAATAGAAGCATAAGTAAACAGAAGTCCCATGAAGGGACTCCCACTTTAGAAATACAAGACAACTTAAAAGCATCAAAAAATGTAAGAGTAGTAATGGATTATAACCTACTAAATAAAGGATCCATGATAAATACAAAAATAAGCAAGAAGAAAATATTCTTTCTTATAACAGAATATAATAAATGTAGAAGGAATCATGGAATTAGAAAAATTACCATTTTACATCATAGTAATATCTCAACATCAACAGGTGATGAGAAACAGGAGACTCACATAATCTCAACGTATCTAATTTTAACAAATTGTTAAAAATCACAAAGGGAGAAGTAGTAACTTGAGAGTGGAAAAACTTGGTGAACAACACTTTATGCAAGTAATTAAAGTCAACGTCACCAATAATGAGATAAATTAACATTATGAGCCGCCCCGACACGATGCACTGAAAACACAGTATCACTTCTGTGATACTCCTGCCAAAATCTAATCATGAGGAAACACCAGACAAACCTAAATAGAGACAGTCAACAACAACAAAAAAGGCCTGTACTCTTCAAAAATGTCAATGCCATCAAAGCCAAAGAAAGGCTGAGGAGCTTTTCTAACAAAGACTAAAGATACAAGAAAACTAAATGTAAGGCATGATTCTCAAGGACCCTAGACCAAATTGCCAGAAAAACTGTTAAAAATGATATTAATATGACAATTGGCAATGCTTGCATGTCTGCAGATTAGACAACAGTATTTTATCGTTGTTAAAACTCCCTGACGTTGCCAATTTTACCATGGAAATGAAAGGTGAACCTCCTTGTTTTTAGAAAATACACACTGACTTACTTGGGAATAAGTGGTATATCTGCAACATATTCTCAAGTAGTCCAGAAAAATAATAGTAAGTATATATGAAAAGAGATAAAGCAAATATATCAAACTGTTAATGCTGGTGAAACTGAAAGGATTTTGAGAATTATGTGCACTATTCTTATAACTTTTCTCTAAGTCTTAAGTTATTTCAAAATTTAAAAAGTTAAATATGTATGTGTATGTATGGATCCATTTTAGAAGTGTTCCCACCACTTCCTTAGATTCTTGAAATTCAACTCTGAAGCATTCTTATGACTTTAGAGCAACTACTCTATTTAGCTTGACTTCAAATTCTCAAAATAAGGCAAGGTCAAACTCTTTGGCAAACCACAATAAAGATTTGGAAATACCATGTACACACACTGGCAAACTGTGTTGACAAGAAGAATCACTTAAGCTAATCATTCCATTTTTTCCATGAGATCTACAAAACATCTGAGTCCTAAATTGCCCCCACTAAAATTATTTCACTTATGCCAGACTCCTAACTTGTCCACAAAACTACCTTCTAATTACTGCATAGCTATTTTTCTGCCAGTCTGGCTCTGATACCTGGAGTTTTCCCAAATTCACAACTGTAACTTGTTTATGTCTAGATCTTCTGAGGAAAAAAAAATCTCCTGGGAGAAAACTGAACAGCGACCTGAAGGATGGGGATTTGAACTTTTTCACAGAGTAGAGGGGCATGCAGGATTTTTCTTTTCTTTTCTTTTCTTTTTTTTTTTTTTTAAATGAAACAAAGAATACACAAGAAAAGAGCCTACAGACATCTAGGAATATTGCCAACTATGTCTCAGGGAGAAAAATCCCAGTGGTGGATGTGAAAATATGCATGCATAAAACAAACTATAGAAAAAGTAAAAAAACGTCCATAAAGTTTCTGACCCAATTTAGCAATCTTGTTTTTCACTTAACCTAATTGTAACTTAGAAAACTTACAGAACCCACAATATAAATTGTTACTTGACTTGTAATCAGTCAACCTCCAAATACGGTTGTCCCCACAGCATAAAGACAAAAATATATTTTCTGTCAGTGTTTCTCACGAGAGAAGAGAAAAATGTGGTAAACTCTTGATTTGTCACTAAGGAAAGCACCAAAAACTTACCATTACCAATAGTTCCCTGGCTATTTAACCAACAATCTACTGTATAAAAAGACGTCTGCCTTATAAAACTGGCTAAAGCTGTGAAACTGGATGACTGACTTTACACTACAATCCCCTAAACTCAGCACTGCCCCATAAATCAGAGAGCAGAGCAAGTTCTTAAAACACCGCCCTTACCCCGGAGCCCCCCAGCACTTGGCTGTGAGTGGATTCCAGCAGCCCCTACGCGCCCAGAGAAAATGTCTTAATTCTTCCAGAAATGTTGGCTTCCAGGTGAATTCAGGTTTTAAACTCTTTCCAAGAGGCCATCCCAGCAGCGACATTTTCCTTCCTCAGGTAAAGATTCCCGGGACGCAGCTGCCCACTCCCCGCCAAACTGGAGAACCTGGCGGCCTGGCAGAATGCGGAGTAAATCCGGAAGGTTCAAGAGGGGCTGGGAAACAGAAGCGCGGCTTCATACTCTGGGTCACCCTGACCTCTGACATCGGCCACCCCGCGGTCCACCGGGAAGGAGTCAAGGGCAGACCCTAGAACTTCGGGCCTGAGCCACAGACCGTGCTGGGCCTGCCTGCGTTAAGGCCGGTCAGGTCTGTGGAAGACTATGACCTTCGCCAAGGCACTCACAGGGGCAGTACACTGAGGATGGGCCGTCATCGGGCTCTGCCTTTCCCTCCAGGACTCACCGCCCGCCGGAGCTGGCCTGGAGCCGCCGCTCGGAACATGGTCTCTATTCCCGTCCGCCTAGAAGCACCGTCAGTCTCACGGCCTCCGGTAGCCTAACCAAGCAGCGCCGCCTCTGCGAGTCACTGTAAAGCTCGCGAGACGCGCTAACGAGAGCGGAAACGGCTCAAGGGAAGAGCGAGAGCTCACGGTTTCTGTCTGCCCATTGGGCAGTCGCGCAACCAACGGGGTTGGCGGGAAGTTAGGGACTGGGCTTGGAAGTAGGGCAAAGGTGAGGCTCGGGTGAAGTGCAGCGGCTGAATGGCTGGCGGAGCTGGTGAACTACCAGCGACAGTGGTGGCCCAGAATGCCTCTCAGCCCCACAGTGGGCAACGTTCTGAAAGTGAACTTTCACCCTGAGCTGATGACGTCAGTCTCCTGGCTGCCAGCCCTCTGGATGAAGTCCCCGCCCCCCCCCCAAGTTATTCTTTTGTTTGCTTTTTTATTCACGCATGTCAACGCTCCACCTGTAACGTGCTAAACACATTTTCCAGGTCAGGGGAATATAGTAAAAGGATGCATAAGAAGTTGACCTCACCAGACTCTGAAGGAAACATACAAATTTCTTATTACGGAAAGAGGGATTCACCGAAGTGATGATGTTTGAGCTAGGTTCTGGAGGAAAGAACCGTGTGGGCAAAAACCAGGAAGGAACGTGAGGTGAAGACCCAAGGACAGGGGCAGAACTTTGTGTGCTGGCTGTAAAAGGAGGCAGGATGGCTGGAGATACAACTGGAACAGTAGTTGGGGAAAGCCTTGAATTTGGGGAATTGGGGCTGACCCTGGCCTTCTCCCCTTCCCTGGCCTTATCCTCTTCCTCTCCTCTTCTCCTCTACCTGTCCCTGGGCACCCTACCCACATCCTGGCTTCAGTGCTGTTGGTGCCAAATCTCTCCTGACCTTTGGATCCACATATCCCCCAACCTACTTGGACATCTCCACAGGATGTCCCTCAACATCTCAAACCCACATGTACACAATTGACAGCACCCCCCTCCAGATTTGATTCTCCTGTACTCCCCTTTTCAGCAAATGCTTTCCACCTCCACCCAACTGCTCAAGCAAGAAACCTAGGGACCATACTTGACTCCTTTCTCCCCTTTATCCACTTACCCTATCAGTCATTAAGTTCCAGTGATTCCACTCCCACATAGCTCCCAAATCCATCTAGGACTCTTTTCTACCCCTCTCCGTGTTTGGATGGTTACAGTTGCCTTCTCACTGTTCTCCCACCTTCTAGTCTTCTCCACCCTCCAATCCATCTCCCATTGCAACCAAAAGACTCTTTCAAAAAGGTAAATTGGTGATATTACTCCTTGTTGAATATACTTCAGTGACTCCCCATTGGCTTTTAGGATAAAATGCAAACCCCTTAATATAACTTATGAGCCCTTTGTGAGCTCATCCTTCCCTTTCTCTTGAGCCTTGTCTTTCCCCTCCCTCTCATCCCCCATGGCCATAAAGAACTATCCTCCATGCCCTACCCCCTCTGCCTCCCCACTCTTCTTCCTCACTCTCCCTTTACTCCTTTAACTGTTTAATACCTATTCATTCTTGAAATTTCAGCTTGGAAACTCCTCCCCCCACCAACTCTGAATTGGATACCTCTCCCATGTGCCCCTATTTTTCCCTTTATTGACAATTGTCACATGGGTTGTAATGACCTGGTTACTTGTCTGTCTCATCCATCTGACTGTATGTCCTACCTTTTTTTTAATTATTGTGTCTTCAACAGTGTCTGGCTCATAGTAAGCATTCAGTCAGTATTTGTTGGATGAATCAACAAACCAATCAATGACTCACTAAAAAGGTCTGAACTTTACCATGACACTTTCAAGCAGGGGAGTCATATGTTCAGAAATGGTCTCAATTCCCAATTTATCAACAACCTTTCCATCCTGGTGAAGTCTAACTAATACATCCCATTGGCTCTACCTTCAGATGATGCCTAGAATCCAACAACTTCTACCAACACCTCTTTATTTATTCCTCTACCACTACACCGTCCCTATTTCTATCACCAGGATCATTCAGGAGCCTCCTAACTGTTCTTTCTGTTTATCCCCTTGCCTCCTGAAGTCTCTTCTCCAAATAGCAAACTGATTGTGTCCTCTGCTCAAAACCCTGTTCTATCACCGTGCCCCAGACATAGGCCTTGCTGCTCTTGAATTCACCAAGAGGCTCTCATCTCAGGGCTTTGCACTTCGGTTGTTCCTTCTGCCTGAAATCTCTTTCCTGGGGATCCAGAAGGCTCTTTTCATCACTTCGCTGAGGTCTGTGCCCAAAAGCTACATTTCCAGAAAGGCCAGCCTTGGCCACTCTAGATAAAATAGCCTCCTTCCCTCATGTTTGATTTTTCTGTTTGGCATTTGTCACCACCTAACAGGATGCACATTTTTGTTCATTTGTTTATTGTTGATCTGCTTCTATGGGAATGTAAGTTCCCTGGGCAAGAACACTGAGTCAACAAACATTCTAAGGGGCCTGTGCTCAGTTTTTGCTCTGCCTCTTCCCCACCTCTACTCCACCTTTAACACTCAGCTCAAGTGACATTTCTTCTGTAAGGTCTTCCCTGATCTTCCAGGATAAATGAATCCTTCCCTCTCCTTCATCCTCCTGGTTCTGCGAACAAGGACTCAGCTTGAACATACGTTGCAACCACTGAAACCATGTCTGTGCCCATGAGTGACTCGGGCCATTGGATGCCCCCAGTGAATCTATATGTGGGAAGGACAATGCAGTATTCCATTTAGCACTGCATTTGCTTCCCAATCTGGTCCCCCACTGGACTCATGTCTGAGTTCTGTGGAAGTGTAAGGAAAAGTGAAGAGTACTTTAAGTAAAAACTAAAAGGGACTAAATGCAATGTTTAAAAAATGGTACACAAATTAACCTCCTTCACGCCCTCCCCCCATGAGAAAGCAAAACAGAAAAGGAGGGAGAACATTCCCTAGCCCCACACCACAGGACAGCTTTGTCACCTCCCAGGCTCCAGTGAATCAGCAGCATCTGTGCCAGCAGAAGGGCAATACCCATGGATCAGGATGATTTCTGGAAGAGCAGAGCCAGAAGAGAGGTAAAGGCAGAAAACTGCCAAAGTCTGCGATAACTGACCAGACCTGCTCATGAGCACACATGAGATGCTCCCTGGGGGGTTTCGGGGGGAGTGTGGAGGAGTTCCATATTTACATGGAGGTCAAGTACTACCAAAATGTGAACACTAAAACATTTATATTAGTGCAATTTCTGTATACATGTTTGGGTGTCTGTTTTTCCCACTAATTTATGAGCTGCTTTGGTGGTAAGACCCATGGTTTTTATTATCTGGTTCATGTATGTGGATGTTTAGTGAGTGTTAATAGAAATGTTTGTCCAAAGAGAAAAGGAAGGAAGAAATGGGTGGGGGAAAGGAGGGTGGATTTGCCATAGTCAACCCTAGAAGACAACACTCCAGTCTATTTTGGAAAACACCTCACTGTCTTTTTTCTTCTCCACAGGCCAGTTTCAGGAGAGCTCCTCCAGAATTCCTGATGGAAACTTAGAAGATGAGCGTTAGTGGGACGAACTACAGCCCCAATTACTGTTCCTGTCCAGGGGCCACAACTAGTACTCATTGCCTCCTTCATTGTTTTCAATCCTAAATTCTCCTCACCCTCAGTTAGCATCTCCTCTGGTCTCAGTGGCTTACCTGAGGATATGAGCCCCTGACCACCATGCCTTCTCAGGCCAAGGTCACTGCACTTGTCCCCTTATTGTCAAAATCGAGCAAGAGAGTACTAAGAAGCATTCAAACTGGCCAAGATGATGATTCTCCTTCTTGCCTGTTGGTCTCTGCAAACAAGGTGCCCAAAGTGCTCAGGTAGTAGCTATAGCTTATAGATCAATAGTGCTCTTGCTGTATCCTCTGGTGGAAGATTCCCCCTCGGGGGACAAATATCTCTAACCCTGCAGAGTCCAGAGTTGTGAGAGTTGGAAGCTCAAATTCCACAGGTGCCCACTGAGAGTGATGGTAGTAGGTCCCTCCTGATTCTACCCCTTGGTTCCTGGGTCCATGAATTCTTCTGAGTGGGGACACGGCACCATATGAAAGTATTTGATTCAAGATGTACATGGTATCCTGGAAGATGAACCCCATCCTCATAAAGTATTGCCTCCAAGCTGGTGCTTCAAGAGGGCCATTCTGATGCCCTATCAGGGAAGTAGCTTCTGGGTGGTCCCGTATATGACTAGATGAGCAAACCCTGTGATTATGGACTCATTCCTGAACCTCCACTTCAGTGAGTTGGGTCCCTGATCTGACATGATGTTATGTAAGATCACTTGTGGTGGTGAATGAAATATTCAAAAAGACCTCAGACAATGGGGCTGGTTAAGATCTTGCGGGCAGGGAAAGTAAACAGCATCCAGAATATATGTTAATTCCTGTTAGGATGAATCATGGCTCCTCCAGAATGGAAGGGGTTCAATGTAGTCAACTTGCCACTATATTGCCGATTAGTCTCCTGAATAGTTGTTATTATATTGGGGGTATATTCAATAGCAACAGTAGCTAAAATTAGTTTTTGTAAGTGGGAGCCTATGCTATTACTCATACTAGCCTCTGTCTCTGCTGCTGTAACCTCTTTATTCACGTGTCCTTAGTGCCAGCACTGGGTGGCTGATGACAGAGACTAGCTGAAGTCATCTGGCCAAGTGAATTTTGCTTTTCTTAGTTATTTAGTGCCTCTTTCATGGTGGATGCTTTCTGGTGGGTGTCAACATGTGATACAAAGATCTTCATACTAGTGGCCTCGGTGGCTCAGTCAATAAAGCACTGATCTTGATCGTGATCTTGGAGTCATGACTTCAAGCCCCACATTGGGTGTGAAGCCTACTTAAAAAAAGATCTTCATACTTTGTGGTGATGCACCTATACACCTATCCGTCCTTGTGCTTCTATCCCACAATCCTTGTCCCTAATCTTCCTAAATTTCTTCTTCCAGGCCCTTACTAGCCATAGAGTCTTTACCATTGCCCCTGAGTTCATATATATTCCAACCTTGGGGGCACTTGTCTATCCACAAAGTGGATGCCCAGGTGCACCTCC